GGGGGGGCATCGCGGATGAGAACCGTGCACGAGATTGGCGCAAGAAAGTAACAGGGGGAGAGAGCTGCACCCCGTTTTTTGCATCTCTTGTTTGCTTGCTTTTTTCAAACGCAAATTATGAAAGCCACGCGCACAAACAAATCAATCAGAACAATTGTCATTTCTGATATCTATCAAATTTAGGAGGATTCATATCAACAAGCAAACCCTTCGAGAACAACCGGACGACGGTTCGAGAGCGCCTTGGGGGAGACACAGATGAGCCGCCCGCCCACAAACGGGTTCAATGTTGTAGGTGCCTAACCTAACCTAGGATAGTTTGGACCTCAACCAAGGATCAACCAAAGCTGCTGCAATCGTGTTGAAGCAAGACTTTTATGTTAACACTACACCGCAAGCGAAAAGCAAATAAAAAAAATAGGCACCACTGCAAGCGAAAAAGGAAATTGGTCACCACAGCAAGCAAAAATAAACAAAATGGTCACCACCGCAAGCGAAAAAAATTCAATGGTCACCTCGGGCACACGAGGTCGTGGAGGCCTGTGGCAGCGGCGTTGATGCCCGAGCTGTGGCAAACCTGACAATCCTGTAACCCGGTGCCTTCGCACGACCCACACACCGGGAGCTGAAACGAGTACGCAACAGCAGCGCGAAGAGGGACATAACGATATGTGTGGGGGTGTACTCATACTCAAAGTCGTGCATGTCGTAGTCGTTAGACCATTGACCTCGCATCCCTACAAAGCCGGGACGGAGCACGCCGGGTTCTCACCGGACCAGGCTCTCACATCACCAAGCGCGAAGCGCCGTGAAAATATTCGGCGAGTCGCATGAAGGGTGCGCTGCATCCTGCTACGGGTGTTCGGCAGCTTGTGCTTACTTCCTTGCGTCCGGATGACAGCTGCGTATGACTTAATTTATTTTCTGGTGCTTTCGCTTCCAGAGACAGTTAAAAGCACTGTGTAAGTGCCTCGAGGGTGCTTGACCATTTTAACACAACGTGGTGCGATCATCCCCCTTGCGCGCAGAGAGGGTTCTCCACCCTGCACAACATGATCCACTCGACCACCACTCCTTATGATTACCGCCAAAAAAAAACAGAGGTAAAAAAAAGAACGGTAACCTGGTTGCCGAGTTCACGAAGTGAATTGGCTTGTTTTACAACGTCGTTGCCATTCGACGAAAACCCAATCCCGATGGCAAACACAGGGGGGGGGGGCTTGTTTTACAACGTCGTTGCCAAGCGACGAAANCGAGTCGCATGAAGGGTGCGCTGCATCCTGCTAAGGGTTTTCGGCATCTTGTGCTTACTTCCTTGCGTACGGATGACAGCTGCGTATGACTTAAATTTATTTTCTGGTGCTTTCACTTCCTGAGACAGTTGTAAGCACTGCTGTGTAACTGCCTCGAGGATGTTTTGCCATTTTAACACAACGTGGTGCGATTATCCCCTTTGCACAGAGTGAGGGTTCTCGACCCCGCACAACATGATCCACTCGACCACCATTATGGTTACCGCCAAAAAAAAAAAAAAAAAGGGAGGGGGGGAGGGGAAACCACCTGGACTCCTACTGAAACGGGTACCGCAGCCATACTGTAACCCGCACATTCACGCCGAAAACAAGAGGGGGGGGTCTCCTTCTGCAGCAAAATACAACATCAGTGCCAAGTGCGACGGAACCGACGAGGACCCCGCCATGCGCGTAGCGTACACGTACGAACTGAATCGCTGCTACTTAAAATAGACAACATTTCGAGGAGAGGCATACGTAATTCTTCAACAGTGGGCTACACGGTAAATCGCAAAGAACATGTGTTCGAGTTGGGTTTAATCCCGAGCAGGGTGGCAAAACGCTTCAGCTGATCGTTGTTCAACGCACACCTAATCAAAGCACGACACGCCTAATTTTTCTCTATTGGGGCCGCCGGGGGGTAGGGAGGGGGCCGCTTCGTCTCTCACGCCTGGTCTCAAGCCACTCCTCAAATCACTCAAGCACGCACATGACGCGACAAACATGAAAAATTCCAAGCCCGAACCTGCTTCTCCCTCATCTCCGCGCGCACGGTGCCCGGCGAACCCGCCTTGTGCGGCGGCGCAACCCTTCCCGTCCTAGAGTCGCGGTAGACGAAGAGGTTCTTGTCCTGGGAGTTCTCTCCGGACACGACGGCGAGACGGTCGAGTTCCGCCGCATCCTCGAACTTGATCCGCCGCATCGGGTCTTCCTCTGGTGATGGTGGTGGCGGCATTGTTTTGTACCAAAAGGTGTGCGCGGCGCGAAAATGAAGGGAGAGAAGGCCAAGATGTCGGGGGNNNNGGGGGGGGGGGGGGGGGGAGTAGATGGGTATCGCGGTAACTGTCGGCTCGTTGGTCGGTTGGTTGCGTCTACCATCACTCTCCACAGAAACGACCACAAACGTTCCATGGACATGCAGCAATGAGTGCATCACGTTCGGCGAGGCATTCTCACGTACAAAGTAGGGGGTGCACTCGACAGGTCTCGTGAGGGGGGGGGGGGGGGG